ATTCGCATACCACAGAAAAAAAAATTCAGTTCTGATATTTCGGAAATTCGGGATTCAGATCCGAAATTCAATTCGGTTCGGATTCGGGATGAAAGACATATTTTTGTTAGTTTCGGATGAGTTTTACGAATATTCGTAAAACTCATACCTGACTGGCCTAGCAGCCAGTCAGGTATGCTGCATACAAATGTGCTTACAAAGAACATACTGATAGGAGCAGAGCAGAGTGAGTAGGATGATGACCTCATCCATCTCCTGCTTTTGTGTCCCACCTGTACACATTTTCCTGCTGTTGTTTTGTATTGCGTTTAGTTATTGTGTTGTGGTATACGGCTAACATCTAGTAGTAGATTACCACTGCTACAACTTTTGTTTCTGTGTACATTTGGTATCTTCAAATATATGATAAATGTCACCAGCACACATATGCCTTGTGTCAATAATCCATCTTCTTTATTGATGCAGACTGTCACTGTTTTGTGACAGTCTGCATCAATAAAGAAGATGGATTATTGACACAAGACATAGGTGTGCTGGTGACATTTATCATATATTTGAAGATGCACGCGCCATCCGTGGTTACTACAGCACCCTCCTTTATACATAGGGGTTTCCGGTAAGGAGTGCAGCAGTTCCACTCCAAGATTACATTTGGTATCTCTCTCTGTTCTCCCCTCCTGGTTAAAGCTAGGTGGTACAGTCCAAGAAAGACCCTTCCTTCTGTCACCATGTTTTCTTAGTATAGTGCTAGCCTGCATAGCAGACACTAGGCTGAGGAGATCATTGTCCTTTACACTATAAGATTTTCACTTGGATTTTTTAAGCATTGGACACTGATTTTGTCGTTTTAAACATTGTTCGTTTATTTATTCCATCTGAATGAATTTTAGTGGTTGTAATTGATTTTTGTATTTTGGTTAGACTGGTTATATCTATAAGAGATTGTACTTTGCCCTGAGTAGTAAAACTGTATTAAACCTCTGTGTTTTATTAGAGAGTTAAGCTGTCTGTGGATTGTTCTGATTCAGCAGGTGACCATACTGCCAGGACTGATCATGATGTAAAGGAGGTATGTGAATATATAAAGTGGCATTAGAAACAGAACACCTGCAGTTCTTTTACTGTCCATTCAACAGGCTGGAGGTGGTGAGATATCACTGCATTCCTATAACTGTAACGGCAAAATGAGTGTCATCTCAGTAACTGTGTGTTCAGCAGGGCTGCGCAAATCTCAGGACTGGACTGAAAGAAATGCACATTGTTTTGGCTAGTAAATCCACTTTTTATGTAATCTATCTGTATTTGTAGCCGTTTGCTTGCAATTGAGCTATAAGTAAGCTGATGAAAAGACATTTAGTATCTAGAAGAGCAGAAGATGAAATAGACACGCATCTATCTTACCTCTAAGCTTTCCTCATTCACCTTCAGCTATGGCAAGCATCTATCACACCTCTAAGCCTTCCTCCTTCACCTTCAGCTATGGCAAGCATCCATCTTACCTCTAAGCCTTCCTCCTTCACCTTCAGCTATGGCATCTCCAGGATACGTCATTAAGAAGCATCGGACTATTCTTTCTTCTACCAGGTTTAAGACACTTCTCATGTCCCTTCTCCCCAGGTTCTGCCAATTATTACATATGTATCAGCATGGGCTTAATGGATACTATAGATACTGCTCCATAAATTACATAAAGCACAACTGTTTGCGCATCAAAACCAATGTTGCAGAAAGTCTTACAGATTGTTATTGTAAGAAAGTAGCCACAGCCTGAAAAAACATCCTTTCCCCTGTGTGTAAGCAGAAGTCTCTCTGCAGCAATCCAACATGCTCCCCACTGAGAGACCGTTCTTCCCGCTTCGGCTGTGTGTTTGGCTCAGCTGAGCTGAAGCATATGCGTTCGGCTCGACTAAGCGCTTCAGCTGCCTTCAGCTGCTGTATGGGCTATTGTATGGGGTGTATTGGGCCCTTTGGTCCGGCTCCAGCATGATAAAGATTCCAATACTTCCCCACTGTACCAGAAAAACTGTTGTCTGTGTTAGTCTTCAATTGTCCTTGGTTTAACTTGGAAGGAGAACTAAGGGCTGAGGTCAGATTGCTTACCAGGAGCTGAAAGATACTCTTATTTATTTTATCCTTCTGTATTTTACACTAGCAAAAATTGGACCAATTTGTGGAAAAAAGAGAACGGGAACAAAAAACTCAGAATCGGAATGCCGTTCGCACAGCACTAGCACCCCTAGATGGTGCTGAGGGGTATTGGAAATGTACTTTATGAATAAATCCGTATATGTAAAAAAAAAAACAATTCAGTCAATGGGTTTTATTCAGAGATTGTCCTCTGTGAAGGATCTTGCAGATTTGCTCTTGTGTGTGTTAATATATTGAATGGATTCATGAAAAATAGATTAATTAATGATAAATGAATGCTGTTTGATTTTTGTAGGTGACCATCAGTCTGTAGGAGGAGCCAGATCAGTCTGGAGGGTGTAGATCATTTTTTTCTCCAAGGAGGGGAGCGCTGGATGTATGTGTTATTGTCAGACCAGGGATGGTGCAAAAGGCCATCTAGGAAGTCCATGAAGTGTGATTTCCACTCCTTTGTTTAATTTCACATTTACTTTATGTCCATAGCACACAGTGAAAGAGTAGCACTCTATCAACTTCAACAGGGGATCCTCTGAGGCTCATTTGTGCATTGCTACCCTGCTCTTGGGGCACTCTGCTCACATTGCACACCTTCTTCTATCCCACCGCTCCAGCACCCTCATAAATGACTTTTGTCATATCTTCATCCCAGTCAATTCCCTCAAACAAAAAAAGAACCAAAGCCCGACTACAAAAATATTTTATGACCTCTGAAGAATTACAAAGGTTCACTAATGGGTGTTTTTCTATATGTGCTCAATAACCATCAAGATCAGACTGATGCCAGGTGGTGAGAGCCTTTTGCCACCGCAAGGACAGTTAGGTTATCTGATGATTAGAATTCTGATGGATGACTTGGATAGCACGATCAATAGCCAGACTCTTTTTGCGTCTGCTCTACAGACAACTTCAGCAGTCCCTTCAGCAGCCTTATTGGCTAGCATCAGATCTGTGGTCCGTGAAGAACTTTCGGCTAACATTAGGAAACTCTCAGCAGATCTATTAAAAGAAATTGCCAAACAGACCGCCATGTTGGAACATCACAACCGTTTTGAACGGCCATGAAGCACTTATGGAAGATTTACACCAAGATATTCAAGCCCTGCAAGAAAAACAAGAAGATGCCGAAATGGGGACTGCTGCGGAAACCTGAGGATAAGGTGTTTGCCTCGACATATTACAGATCTCTCGGGCACTGTCACGGCCCTGTTCCAGAAACTCGCTCCTGACATTCCACAAGAACGTCTGGAGTTCAACAGGATTCATAGAGCTCAAGGCAGGTGACCACAAGATGGCCCACCGTGAGACATCATCGAGAAACTTCATTTTTTTCAGACTATGGAGCGTTATCTAGCGGCTGCCCTTGAGAAATTTGAACCTTCTTTCCAGGGCAATGCTCCCCTCTTCTTTCCTCTATCTTCCTTTCTATTTTTCTGCCTCTGGTTTTGTCTTCTTCTTTGTCTTTGTTCTGTTTATAGGGGGTTTTCTTTTCCTTTTTACTACTTCTTCTAGCCTTTTTTCCTTCCCTTACCCTTGTTTTGCTCTGTTTCTCTTGTCCCACTACTTCCCTTTCTAAGAATTTATTTTGATCTTGTATGCTCTCCTGACCCTCTCAGGATTTTTTCTCCAGGGGTTGGGCCCCATTTAATACAGGATTTACGCGCTCACTCTCTCCAGATCCACCACTAGGTGGTACTTAGCGTTGGGAGTGCAGTGGAGCTGTGAGGGCACTAAGACGTGATTTTGTTCTTAACCTCCTCTTCTTAACTTCTACACACCTTGATAATATGGATGTCTGATAAAGATATGATGCTTGTGTCACTTTTGGTTATAGAGTTGTCTTTCGCTGCTGCGTCAGTGGATCTATATTTTATATCCTGTGTTTTTACTGTTTTTGAAAATAATAAAAAGTTTGTGAAATAATTCTGATGGATATAATGTTACACACCTGTATTTTTCCTTTAATGTAGGACATAGCAAAATCTGCTCCATAGTCTTCACAATCATGCCAATCCCGAACCAAGACATCAAAATACTATAAAGAGAAACAAACATTAATCAGCATTGAATTGCGGAACTGTGAAATTAATGAAGAGTGCCGAGTGTGGGGAGAAGCTGTGCAAGAGAGCTGTGAGTGAGAAGGAGTTGTGCAAGAAAGCCATGAGTGGGAAGGAGCTGTGCAAGGGAGCTGAGTGTGAGGAGGAGTTGTGCAAGGGAGCTGAGTGTGAGGAGTTGTGCAAGGGAGCTGAGTGTGAGGAGGAGTTGTGCAAGGGAGCTGAGTGTGAGGAGGAGTTGTGCAAGGGAGCTGAGTGTGAGGAGGAGTTGTGCAAGGGAGCTGAGAGTGAGGAGGAGTTGTGCAAGGGAGCTGAGTGTGAGGAGGAGTTGTGCAAGAGAGCTGAGTGTGAGAAGGAGTTGTGAAAGAGAGCCAAGGATAAGAAGGAGCTGTGCAAGAGAGCAGAGTGAGAGGAGGAACTGTGCAAAAGACCAGAGTATGAGGAGGAACTATGCAAGTGAACTGAGTGTGAGGAGAAGTAGTGCAAAAGAACAGAGTATGGGATTGGACTTGTACAAGAGAGGTAACTGTCAGGAGAAGTTGTACAAGAGAGGTAAGTGTCAGGAGGAGTTGTGCAAGAGAGGTAAGTGTCAGGAGGAGTTGTGCAAGAGTAGTTTGTATGAGAAGGAGCTGAGTTGAAGAAAGGAATTGTTTTAAAAGCTTGCTGCCCTCAGCGAATCTGCCGCTCCAGGCAAACGCCTTGTTTGCCTCGCGGCAGATACGCCCCTGTCCACCACTACACTTGTTGAATGAGGCAAAATATATTCTGAGACACCAACCATACAGGAATGCTTTGCACGCATCAACACTGTAGCCGAAATGGAAGAACTAATTTACATACAGTAATTCAGAATAAAATGTCCCGATAACTACGTACCTGGACCAGGTAGCACCTGTTCAAATACACCACTACATACAGAAACATTCTACACCTATTTGTCCTGGTGACCATTATCACTAAAACTGAAAGTTATAAAGTTTCCAAAATTTTGGGTTTGCACTAGACACTAGTTCTGGTGGTTCTAGTTCTGACCACTAGGGATATGGTGGTGTTTCGTCTCACTTCCTTTGGTGGTTATCAGACAGGAAGTGAAGGGAAGTCTCGCCAGTGGGACACCAACTCTTACTCTATCCAATGCTACAAAAAAAATGGCTTCAGTTCTACTGGAAATCTGGAACAGTTGACATTTAACACCAAAGTCTTCAGTATTGCTTTTATTTCAAAGTCAAAGCACCAATCATTGTTATTAAGTAAAAAATGAAGTCAAACTGTGATAAACACAAAGAAGACCAACATGATAGCAGATAATGTTTACCTTTAATGCAAAGAATGGGTGGAATGGATCACTTTCCATTGGATCACAATAAATCTGAAAAACAACATCCAGTTTTTATTAATATGTAACCAGATAATGCGGCTTTATCAAATGTAATAGATGAAGATCTTCTTACCTCCAGATAGTCTATATCTGTCTTCTTTACATTGGTCTTCACATTGTACACCTAAAACATTGAGAATGAATTACAATTAAAAGTCATTTATAATGCAGATCAAGAGTTATTTTCTGTATGCAGCCACCTTGTCATATGTGGGGTGAGTCCTTAAATTTAGTCCGCAGGACTGTGTCCAGACTTAGTTGATTTGATAGTTCTGTGCTCATTTGGTTTATCTTAAGCTGAGTGTTATTGTTTGTAACTGCCTGCTGCTGGGTTTGACCTTGCAATAGAGCAGATCAGCCAATAATGGGGCGTTATGAATATGTGTTTCTCCCTAGGCAATCACTAGGAGCAGTGGCGTCACAAGGGGGGTGCGGGGGGTGCGGCCCGCACCCGGGTGCCACCATTGGAGGGGTGACACCAAAATGACTCACAGTCATTTTGGTGTCACCCCCCTCTGAGAAGTCGGGCGCTCGGTCATGGACCGAACGCCCGACAGTATCAGGAGAGAGGAGGGGACCCGGCGGCATACCTTATCCCGCCGGGTGACTGTCCCCTCCTCTCTCTGCCGGCGTCCATCACCAAGATGACCGCCGGCAGGTATCACATGGTGACGTCACGCGCATGCGCAATGACACTCGGTTACCACTCCGGGTGTCACCCAGCCTCGGGACGCCCCTGACTAGGAGGTTCATGGTCAGTGGTGCATGCTGGAGGAGAGCATATTTATTCAGGGCTGATCTTGTGAGTGTCGCTTTTTCCCCCCGGGCTCCTGCCTGAAGGAGGGTGTGTAAGGTTGACACCTTTTCTTCAAGCAAAACCCGAACACTCTAGCGACGCGCGGACATATTTTTTGGGGAGAATGAGGCGCGGCTTATTCATATGTAAATAGCACCACCCATTAGTATGTAAATATCACAGTTGAGACTATTTTCAGTGGGAGGCCAATAGCTCCTATCTTAATTCTGGTTGCCCCTGTTTGCCTGACATCTTGTGTCCGGGTTCCTGGTGCCAGGAAACCCGGACACAGCATTCAAAACCCGAACTGTCTGAGTGAATCCTGGACAGGTGGCAACCCCAAGTGTGTGTGATGTGAAGTGCTGTCTGATTAGACCTGTAGGTGGTCAGGGATGGAGACCCAGTTGGGTTTTGCAGCTGTCCTGTCAGTAAAGGGGGAATGGGATGGAAAACCACAGCAAAAAAATTCCCAGCACATTCACCAGCCAGTCTGCAAAAAATACTGTCTAACTGCTAAGGTTAAAAACAGAGGTCTTAGTTGCATGTCTTGTGGGATGGAGAACCAGGGAGGAACTTCTTCTGCTGGAGGTGTCGTAGAAGCTAGGGTTGAGCTTGGCCCTCGCAGGAAGTCTGATGTCTAGCCCAGGGAGTTCTATGCTAGTTCTGCTAACCAGCTAAAGTTCTACAATGCACAGTGTCACCTCAATCGGTTTAAAGGTCCTCTGCAATGTGAAGCTGGGAAGTGGTTGGTGTAGGGTTGCCACTTTTCCATCCAGTGAAACCCGAACACTCTAGCGATGCACAGAATTTTTTTAGGGAGAATGAGTCACGGCTTATTCATATGTAAATAGTGCCGCCAATTAATATGTAAATATCACAGTGAAGATTATTTTCAGTGTGGTGCCAGTAGCCCCATCTTCATTTTGGTTGCCCCCATCTGCCTGACATCTTGTGTCCGGGTTTGCCATGAAACCCGGACACAACATTCAAAAACCGAACTGTCCGGGTGAATCCTGGACAGGTGGCAACCCCAGGTTGGTGAGTCTGCAGTCTGTACTGTTCTAGGTGTCTGAAGCTGTTGGAGGAATAAAATCTCTGAGATCTTTGACTTGCACCCAATTCTACATTCACATCCCACAACCACTAAGGACTCATCCCCACCTTGTCTCTGGGGTCCCTAACATGACTCTGGGATTGGGAGGGAGGCGGGGTGCTGCACATATGGTTGGATTTTAGGTGCCTGAGGAAAAGTCAATAAAAGGTAGAAGGTATGAGTGGAATTGTTATAAAGGACTTTTTTAGTAAATATATACTTTCAGTGCCTGATAAAGACGAACTGAAGTCTGAAAGCTATGGGCAAAAAAGCCAGACAGTAGGCAAAGGACTAGTTACTAATATTACTGAGGTCTGACTTACAATGTCTTGTTTAGCACTGTCTTTGTGTGGGGGCAGCTATTCTGGTAGAAACAGGGCTTTAGAGCCTCCAGCAAGGAAAACAGTGAGCAACACAAAAATGACATCACCAAATCTCATCCAAAATCAGAGACTAGCAGCCAGAGGCAGCCGCAGTGGTGGAATGCTCTGTGTCCCAGCGGGGGAGGAGAGAAAGTGACAGCCGGCTGAGCTTTGCGGGAGGAGAGCGATGTGTTTGTGATTTTTTTTTGGGGGGGGGGGGCAAAAAAAAATCTTGCACCAGGGCCCTTTGTTCCTTAGCTCCGCCACTGGGCAGCCGTGCCTTAGATCTCACACTGCAGATATATAACTATGAGATACAGAAATGCATAGGCACCCTCACATAACAGGAAATGCAGTTTTTCAGAAAGAATTCCAGACAAAAGGGCGTTTTCTCAGGGTGCTGCTTAGTCACAATACATTTTTAATAGATGTTCCATATAACATAGCAAATCTTCACTTTTTGGGTTCAGCTCCATTTTAAGTTCTGCTAAAATGCAACCAAAAGTAAACAGATGGGAATGGGACCCTTAAAGGGAAAGTATATTGTCATTTCATCAAAAAAGATTTCGTACTCGGCAAAGCGTTACCAAAGTGGATCTCTGTTCTGCTCAATAAGCTGCTTGGGTTAATATTTGCTACAGTGTTCTTTGTATTTGTGATTTTTCCATAATTTTTTGTGTATTTGTGTACAGTCATTTTTTTTTAACATTTTTTTTTTGCCCACTGTCTCTTATTTACTTTCTGTCATAAAATAGAAAGGCTATTGAGTGGCCATCTTTGGCAAAAGAACTGGTCGGGATAGTTGAAAGGAGCTTCTTTAACCCTCAGGAACCATTTAATGACCATTTCATCTTTAAAAAAAATACTTTCACTTTCCTTCCCTATTAATGCATTTTGCCAAAATTACAATATTTATTCATTATGACAAGGCTGCTTGTCATAATGCTGTAAGACCAATTGTAACTTACAAGGTGAGAGCTGATCATCATTGTTAGTACAAACAGCTTTATGTTGGTGGGCTCATGGCAATTTGTATTGTCGGTGCCTTCAGTGTCCAGAAGAAATACAGCCATCTGTAGGGAACAAGATTGAGGAACTGTTACATCGCCAGCAAGGCATTCTGCGTTTTTCAAGAGACAGCAGCAACTGGGATGGTCTATTCAAAAAAGACCTATTGAAATATCAATCTCCCACCGTCACCACCATTGTTGACCATCCAGCACCCTTCAATGCGGACATTAAAACAGAGACATTTGCATATTTAACTCTCCTGAAAGACGGTGTTGCACACTTTCTTCATATCATTTTTGCTGAAGGGGGAGATCAAAGTTTAACCAATCAGTGGCCCTGCCTTGACAGCAGTCACCTAAACTTATTTCTCAAAGAAGTGACTGGCATTAAAGAGAGCCACTAGCACTGGTTTCTGAGAAATTCAACTATATTGGCCAAAACAATGTTAGACACCCGAAGAAGTTCCCTCTACTCGAAAAACTACAACCTAAAATATTATTAATAATAAAATAATTCTTATGATCAGGGCCTGATTTCCCACAAGGCCAACCAATGCCCGGCCTCAGGGCAGCAGGGAGTAGAGGGGCAGCAGGGGTGTGGAATTCCTATTTCCTGACGGGCGCCGCCGGGTGGGTAGTGATTTTTTACATTTAGCCCCCTTTTTTGTGCAAGCAGAGCTAAATGTACAGCGGGGAAGCCGCTGCTTGTTTTGTACAAGTGATCTCAGTGATGTCACCGAGATCACTTGTATGCAGCCTGCAGGTCTGCCATTCTCCATGGGGGGAGGGGGGTTGGCAGGTAGGAGTGCACATTGAGGAGCCTGGCCTTGGGGCAGCAGAGAGAGTAAATCCGGCCCTGATTATTATTATTCAGGATTTATATAGCGCCAAGAGTTTGTGCAGCATTTTACATTATAAGAAAGACATTACAGTTACATTACAATACAAATAAGGGAGGAGGTGTAGATATAGAAGAGAAGATGTCCAAGGACAGAGCTTTGTGGGATCCCTCCAGAAAGAGGATAGGAGGAGTTAGATTTGTAGATGACACTAAAGGAGCGCTAAGATAGGTAGGAGGAGAACCAAGTGAGAGCAGAGACTTGAAGGCCTAGCAAATGCAGTTTTTTGAGGAGGAGCGGGTGGTCAACTGGTTCAAAAGCAGCAGAAAGGGCCAAATAACAAGAGTAAGGGGTAGTGGCAAAGTGTTGGGCCTGAAAGCTGGACTGTAAAGGGTTGAAGATGTTGTTACCAGTGAGGTGGCGGGTCAGGCGGTTCCAGATCAGGCGTTCCAGCAGTTGTGAGGTGAATGCAAATAAGGAGATTGTTCTGAGATTGTTAAGATTGGTGGGGTCCAGTGAGGGTTTTTTGGGTATTAGGTTGACAAGTGCATGTTTTAGAGGGGAGGGGGAGATGCCAGTAGAGAGGGAAAGACTGAAAATGTGAGTAAAAGGCTGTAGGACAGAACAAGAGGGTGATTGGAGTAGTGGTGAGGGAACAGGGTCCAGGGGGCATATGCTGAGGTGGATGTCAGAGAAAAGCTTTGTAACCTCCTCTGTAGTGCCAGGGTCAAAAGGAGGAAAGTAACAAATGTGATGGTGGCCTTGGTATGTTAATTGGAGAAGATGACTGGACAATGGAGTTCTCATCACGAATTGTATTTATTTTGTTTTTTAAATGAATGACAATGTTCCGGACAGTGAGTGAGTTAGTGGGTAGAGGTGATGAGGAGCCCTCTAGGAGCCAGAGAATGTGCTCAGTGACACTAGAAGTGATTCAATGCACATCACTTCCAGGTCCAGTGATCGGAGGAGAGGTCCGCGGTTAGAAGCCGCTGATCTCTCCTCCGATCTATTAGGGCAGACC